ACTGAGTCTTTTCATCCATGAACACTTTGCATCTCTCTATTTATGTAGGCCTTCACTGGTTTTCTCACTATGTTCTTTATTGTGTATAGGTTTGTACATCTGTTAGATTTATTCGTAGGTATTTCATAGTTCTATGCTATTGCAAATGTTTTTAAATTTTTATTTTCTAATTGTTTGTGACTGGTTTATAGAAGTACAATGAATTTTTGAATAGTGAACTCACTAAATGTACTTGTTTTTAAATTGTATCTGTAGATTCCTTTGGATTTTCCTCAGACACAATCATGCCTCTGCAAATAATAATAGTTTAATTTTTTCTTTTTAAATCATCATACCTTTGTTTTTTTCCATCAATCTTCTTAGTCTTAATTCAGATCCATACTTCTTGGCCCCTTTCAATGAATCTGTGGTGTTCTGTCTAATTAGAAGAAATCAGTAGGAATACCTGTTAAGAATTTTCCATGAAAATGTTAAAGCATGTAAGTGTTTTCCTCGGACTCAGAGGTTCACAATCTTTGTTTATTTTTGTATTTTATTCTTTTTGGGATGTGTGCACAGAATGCATCTATTGCTGAACCTACATTTAAAAAATATGTTGCATACCTTCTGAAAACTTCATTGAGAATGTATTACTATAGTAGATAAGTTGAAAACTCTAGATGTGGGGGTTTCACATTTTCCTAATGTATCTTTTCTGAAACCTGAAAGGTCAACTTATTTGACTTCTCAACATACTTCCAGTGCAGAATTGATCACTAGTGTTATCTAATTATGGTTTGCTTCAATTATTTTTCAAAAAAATTTTCAGCCAACTGTTGTCATCAAAGGGAATACCATTTCAAATGAGTATTCAAGTTTCTAAGTAAAGGCATTTCTCAAATATGTAATCAAAAAGTTTCAAGTAAAAAATACAGATCTTTTAAATATATTTTAATATAGTCAAAACCTGAAAAGTATAGAGTTGAAAGATATTTGGTGCATTGATAAAGTTCCCTGGGGGATGCTGGATGTTTAAAGCAACAGTTTGATTGAATAGAACAATAAATGCAGGGCTGAGTGTATTTTTTCTCTTTCTTTCTCATCTACTAGAAAAATATAGATAATAGAGCTCATTTATTTCTTTAACATTTCAGAGCTCCGCAGATGGGAAAACACAACCCAGTGGAAATGATTTCTGGCAACCTTGAGAAGATATGTTAGCATTTTGTGGCATTTCTCTCAGTGACATGTAAAGCATGGCTTTCCCTCATTGCAGTGTCACAGTGAAGTGTCACAATAAAGCCAAAATAGTGTGCCCTCGGGGAAAACTAGGAAAAGGGACCATTTTCCATACACACACAAAGAGTAATATTTATTATAAAGCCTTTCATTTTAGTTCCAAATGCTGCCGGGGCTGTGGGTATTTTCCAGTGGAGAAATGCACAGAATGTGAGACTTAAAGCAAATGTTATGTGTAAATCTAATGCAATTTATGTAAATATAAATAATATGTTAAAAAGTAGAATGCATTTATGGACATACATGCATGCATAAATCTCTGTAGCGTGCCAGGGAGAAAGCTTGTGATGCTGCAAAGTGACAGCATTAGCCAGTGTTGATGGAGTCCAGAGAGCCCTGAGCTGGGAGCCAGGACAGTTCCATCTTTACCTATTTTTGTCACTACTAGCACAGATATTATCTCTTTTATCCACAAACCCTGTGATATGGAAGTTATTAATTCCATTTGGTAGATGAAGAATTTGATATTCCAAAAATTTAACTATCTGTTGCAGATTACACAGCTAGTATTACTTACGTGATTTCACATACTCTTATTATCAAATACAATAGTTTATTATAAGCTAAACTTGTAGTTCTGATAAAAACCTTACATATCCTCTTCATCTTACACTCACACAGTTATTATTTGGACCCAAATGTTGAACTTGATTTTTATAGTCATCAACTGCCATCTCATTAGGTTCATTCTCCTGCCGCAGGCTATAGACATTTTGGGAGTGTCTTAGTTATTATTTTGCAAGGTGTTTCTCATTGCTGCAACTCAGTGTCTTCTTCAGGCTGGATGACTGTTGTATATATTCTCACTCAAATCAGTGGGCAAGGTCCTGTGTCAGGCACCTTTCTTCTAGTTAGAGAGGTTGCTGTTTCATCCGGGTTCTACTTTAACCAATTATCAAATGCATACAGAAATTACCCACGTCTATGTCCTGATGTAGTAAAATGGAGGAGAGGGTGTGAGCTTTGGGGCCCTATAGACTTGGATTCAAATATCAGCCCCACTATTAGCAGTTAATGTGATTCTGGGAATGTTACTAGCTTTTATAAGTACATTTGGATGATGATATTAATAAGATACAGTTTGTAAGGATCTTAAAGGTAGTATGAGTTCAGGCCCATTCATCACTCCAGTCATCAAAGAAATAAATGACAATCTTTTTGATGACCAATCTTTTAGTAACCACCCCTGCCACCCGAGGTCTCACTGATGAATGCTTCCTGATGCCAACAAATAATCTCCTCTTTCTCCTTCTCCTCCTTCCTCAGTTCTATTATGGAAGATGCAGCATGAGATCTCACTTTTAAGTGTGCCGTACACTATTGTTGATTCTAGGTATAGTGTTGAACAGCAGATCTCTAGAGCTAATTCATCTTGCTTGACTGAAACTTTATGCCTGTTTGATTATAACTCTCATTTCCCCCTCCCCCATTCCCTGGCAACCACCATCCCACTCTGATTTTATAATTTTGACTATTGTAGATACTTATAGTGCAGTCACACAGCATTTGTCTTTCATCTGTCTGGCTTATTTCACTGAGAATAACATCCTCAAGCTTCATCTACATTGTTACATATTACAATATTTCCTTCTCTTTAAAGAATGAAGAGTATTTCATTGTATGTATGCACCACATATCCATTTGTCAATTATTCATGGACATTTAGGTGGTTTCCACATCTTGGCTGTTGGGGATAGCTGCAATGAACATAGAAATGTAATGGATGTAGAAAACTGGGTGAATGTTCCTCAAAAATACAACCACCATATGATCCAGCAGCTCCACTTCTGGGTATTTATGTAAAAGAATTAAAATCAGGATCTTGAAACATCTTCACTTTAACACCCTTTGTTAGCTGTTTTCCCAATACCAATGTTATGCTTAAATTACTATGACTTTTAGAATCCATTTCCTTTCCCTGCTTTAATATCTGAATGACGTAGGAGCCTCTCCCATTTGCTACAAATCTTGGCTCATGATGATGGCTTAATGATCTTAGTTTTATATTTTGCAAGGATTTTTTTTGGTGGAAATTCATTTGACTCAGGATACTTGAACTACTTTAGGGAACCTCTTGAACCTCCTGAAGAGAGTTTCTCTAGGAATTCTATGCCTCTTTGATCTGTTTATTCTGCCTCCCTGTTCAGCCCCTCAAAGCCAGTCTCCTTTGACAAAGAAGGCAAGCATAAGGGTGTTTCTGCTTCTTTGTGCTGGCTCTCACCACATCATAATCTATGGTGTAGACTTCTGTTTTCCTTGACAAATGAGCAGACGCAGTCCATGTTGGTCCTCACTTCCTGCCCCATCTTCTTATCATGGCGGTGTTTGCTCCCATGGTCATCTGGTTATATTCTATTTTGCTCCATATTCTGTACATGGTCACTTTACATTTAGGTTCATCAGAGAAGTTGTGTGAAAGCATATTGCTTGATTTAGAAACTTCACTCTTCTTTTACCCATCAGGGTGATTTTTAATTCTCTACTTTTTAATCTTCTTAAAGACATTTCCAGCTCTCTAATTATCTCTTCTTCCAGGATCTTTTTTCTTCTTTCTTAGAAGAAATGACACTTTTTCCCCCATTGGAAGTTTTTGAATCTACTCTTCTAAAGCCAAGAGTTCTTGTGTGACTATAACTGAATCATTGTCATGAATAGGCCACCATCTTTTGCGTTGATGTGTGTAAAATAATGGTTTAAGGCCTTTCTTTATTTAGTAATATTCCTGAGGATTTAGTCGTCTTCTAGAGATGGAGTAAGTCATATCTTTTTACTCTGAGTCTAGGATTCTCTTCTCTGGATCTTTTCATCTAAAGCTCCACATTTTTCTTCAAAGTACATTTAATAAATATCTCTCATAGACTCACAGTTGGCTAAACCCTCTGGTTTTCATGGATCTTGCCAAGAGAATGTTTGTCTTAACTTCACACATAGAGTGATCTGCATTAATTCTGAGCGAGCTATATGTAGGAAATCTATTTTGAAAGGGCCACCCTCAGGAGCATTTCCAAATAAAACCATATGAGAACAGGAGTGAGGATAAACTGTTGTCCATTTTTGTGAAATCCAATCTTATTTCTCCTCCTTTTATTTGTTCTGTGTGCCAAGTGAGTGAGAATCAGAAGGCAGAGTGCCATGTAGCATCTTTCCACTTTTTTTGTGTTTGATGACTGGAGATGGGAGACAGGATGTTCATAGCTAGCCCCCTTGCTCTATGCTTCTTTCTTTTAAGTGAAAGTACAAGATATGTGACATTTCAAGTTTGAGCCACAACTGTGGCAGAGATAAGCAGTTTCAGTAGCAAACAACTGTTTGAAAAACCTTGTGATTTATCCATACTGGACACATTTTTTTTTTTTTTTGTATCTGGTGGTATATTTTTCACATTAGCTGTTTCTTAGGATTAGCAAACCAGTGCAAATCTTGTTTCATCCCTCCCTGGGTATTTAGTGTAGTGCCAAGCAAAGCACAGATTAACATATGCTTACTCAGGATTAAGGATGATTTAAAAAAAAACAACAACAACTATTCTGATAGGCAGTAAAATAGAATCCACACAGTTCAGTGGAGTCCACAGATGGGATGTTTTTGTTAGTGCCAATGACCAACCCTAAACCTCTAGTCCCAAGTTTCCAAAGGCTTTAGGTTAGACTTCATGAAAGTTAAATGCCAAACAGCAGTAAATGCTAGTTTACCATATTCTTAATTTTCCTCAATCACTACAGTGTTGCCTATGATTGTTCCATGGCAAAGAAGAGAAGAGCTGAAGATCCGGCTTTGGGGGTTCCAGTCAACAAAAGGAAGTCCCTGCTAATGAAGCCCCGACACTACAGCCCAAACACAGACTGCCAAGAAGACCGCAGCGACAGGACAGAGGACGATGGCCCCTTGGAAACGCATGATCACTCTACTGCAGGTAGCAAGGAGGAGAGCCTAAACTTTACCTGCTCCCTGGCTCCAAGGACTCTGTGCTAATTCATGTAGAGCGTGTGGTTTGTATGGTTGGTATGGTTGTAAAAGTATATTCAGATTTGGAAGCAAAATCAAACATTTATTTTACCTGATATTTATTTATTGAGGACCCACTTTTTAATCAGTAACTGTGGAGGGTCCATTGATAAGCAACAGAGAGTCTTGCCCTATCCATTTTCAAAAGCAGATAATTGAACTATGCCTCTTTTTGAAGAAAATGCAAGATACTAAGTCTTAGAGTTGAAGAGTACTTTTTCTTCCTAATAGGAAGGATTCCTGAAAGAATCCTTTAGATTGAAGGGCATATTTAAACTTTAAGACACCTTTGCAATGATCAAGTTAAATATAATGTTCATTAGTGATTATGATATATATGTATATATTACAGTTAAAACGTTTTTTAAATTTTTTTTATCAACATGTATGGTTTTTACTCCAAAATATAATTGGTAATAACAACATGAACCAATGCAAGTGGTCTGTGGCCTTAATATTTTTAGTATTTTTGAATAAATGCTTATAGCAATCACATATAGAAGCAACCTCAAGTTGGCAGACTAGAGTCTTCTTCAGAAGGAGACTGAAGGAAAATGATGTATATCACTGTGCTCATTATTTCAAAAATAAGTTACTTAAGTTTCCCTTTAGCAGCACATTTCAGTTCATTGATTCACTTCTTCACTTACTCATCAAACAAATTTTTGTGTGCTAAGTGAAATATAGTTACTGTTTCAAAATTTGAGGATTTCTTTTTTCCCCATTGAATGTTATTCGCATTAGTTCCTGGTAGTCACATGCCTCTAGGAGTTGGAATTCCATCACTGATCACTTTGTGCATGAGGCGAAGCTGAGCGACATGCAAAAACTCTCAAAAGTTATAGAAAAAATTAAGATCTAAAACTTGACTTAGTAGAAAAATGAAACTAGGTGTATATTCTACTAAACATAATTTTTTTTTCTGAATGTGAATTTTAAAGGAATCAAAATACACTAAATAATTTGTTACTTAAAAAGAAGTACTAAATATGCAAACAAAAGGCAATGAGATTCTTATATAATACATTTTTATGGTATGTAGAATTATAGTTAGCAATAACAATTAATATAAAAGATTTAAGGGCATACTTATGAGTGAGCACAAATCTCAGTTCAGAATCATCCTAGATTCAGTAATACTGACTTGAAAGTAGAGTTTGCAGTTCTGTGGTTAAAACAAAGCTGTATTCTGATTTGAAGGTATTTAAGTAAATTCTTTGGCTTTTCTGTATTTAGCATGTGATTTAAAGCCTCATAGCTCATCTGTAAATTATAATCACCCTTGACTTTTTTGTTTCCTTGAACTGATCAATTTTATTCGTTTTGTTGTTGTTGTTGTTGTTGTTTTGTTTTTGTTTTTTGAGATGGAGTCTCACTCTGTCACCCAGGCTGGAGTGCAATGGTGGGAACTCAGCTCACTGCAACCTCTGCCTCCCGGCTTCAAGCGATTCTCCTGCCTCATCCTCCTAAGTAGCTGGGATTACAGTCACACCCAGCTAATTTTTGTATTTTTGGTAGAGACAGGGTTTCACTATGTTGGCTAAGCTGGTCTCAAACTCCTGACCTGAAGTGATCACCTGCCTCAGCCTCCCAAAGTGCTGGGATTACAGGTGTGAGTCACCGTGCATGGCTCAGTTTTATTTGTTGATTCATGAAAATTTGCAGGTTGAATCTAGTATTAGGGAAAGTCTTTGAATCATTTGTGGTTGGACTTGTAGTATAATACACCAACTGACATTAATTAGCCAAGCGTTTAAGAAAATGTGTGTGCTTTTGCATCAGCACATTCTTGTAACTGTTGTGAAAACAGACTATATCTGGATCGCTGACTTGTCACCTTCTATTGTAGTTTGTTGACCACTGTACATGTTTCATATTAACCAATTGAATATATTGTCCAGATGTCCTCCAGTTAAACACACAGTTACAGGCACTAATGGACATTTATTTGCAGGTTCACAAGAAAAGGTTAACTATTTTCATATTTCATATTAGAACCACTAATAATAATAATGAATACGCTAAAATTACAGCAGTGGTGACCATTGTTTTTGAGTTCTTAATATATTCCAGACACGTAAATGATATCGATTAGTCCACATAATGCCACGAGTATGTGTGATTATGGGCACAGTTTTACAGATGAAATCACTGGGGACCAAAGAGATTTGATGCTGAAAGTAATGCATCTTATAGGTGTTAGAAGGAAGATAATTAGGAAACAATTGGAAGGACAAGCAAAAATAATTATTTCCCAGCTAACTATGCTCTGTAATTCAGCTGTCCTCACGCACTGACTACCTTCAGAATGCAGACTGGGCAAAGTTCCTACAATGTCAAATTATGCAGTCACAGTTTCCAGGAATGGCAGGCCCTGTGCCTGGTCAAAAGAACAAAGATTCTAAGTTGCCTTCGGCCCTCTGAACAAGTTACTCCCCACCCCACTACGAGGAAGGAGAGCTGAGTTAGTGCCCAAGCCAGCATAGGGCTTTTCATCTGGCCTCTCATTTACTCTGGTTGCCCCAGGCTATTTACCTGGCCAGGTGTGTTCCCAATTATATCATCTGCAGCTGGGAAGCTCAGATAATGAGAGAAGGGATAGTGCTCAGAAAGAGACTGAGGTCAGAAGCTTGAATGCTGCAAAGTTTTATTCCATTTTATAGCACAAACTTCATCCATATCCTCAACCTGCTGTCTTTCAAAAAGATGCAGATCACTGTTAAAGGGATAGAAGAGAATATGGACAAACCATGCAGTTACCTCTTCCTTCTTGAGGAGACTAGCTTGCAAAGTACTGCCAGAAGGGAGGAAGAGCAATAAGCACAGGCTTTCCTGACACAGGCAGGGAGAATGAGAGTCACCAGAAGGAAGATTAACCAAGCCCCGGTGTGGGGTCCCCAGCAGCATAACCACAAGCTCATGGGGAAATCTGCCACAGTCATAGAAGTTCTAGGGGCTGGGAGGACACTTTTAACACATATTATCTTTCAACTAATAGCAAATAAGGGATAAACCACTCTGCTTTCAGAACTTTGAAAGATGAATTCATTTTTTCCAAGGCTTTTATTCCCAGCAAAATGTACATATTCAAGAGGCCGGGAAAGCCCATTTACCTATAAAAGTAACCTAGCTAGTTACAGAAACAGAACTGAAATCCAATTATATTTCCAGTGTTACTAAAGGAGACAAACTCAAAATATGCTGTGACTTTCAGAGGATGTTTTAAAGTTGTATCGTTGCAGAATAGCCAACATCTATGCCAGGATTCATTAGTATGTATCTGTAGGATTACCAGAAAACTCCGAGTAGAGGTCTTGGTTTAAAGTAAATAAACAACTGTGACCTTGTATGTATCAGGCAGAAGCATTTACTTTTTACTCTAGAAAAGCATCCCAGCATCTCCCCGCACTGTGAATGCACTCAGGATGGAGAAAGGCCTGGACCAGTGAACAGTCTGCTCTCTGTCTGTAACCCTCTGGTTATGCCCTCCCAAGAGCTGACCCTAGAAATTTTCTAACCTATTAGAGTTTTGTTGTTAAGAAAGTTGAGGTTGGTTCACTTTTAGTTTTGTTTGGTCGTGTTGTTTATTTTACTTATAATTTGAGCATCATCGTTCTTCTCCTTGAAAGTTACCTGACAACCGGCTGGGTGTGATGGCTCACTCCTATAACCCCAGCACTTTGGGAGGCCTAGGCTGGCTGATCACGAGGACAGGAGTTCAAGACCTGCCTGACCAACATGCTGAAACCCCCGTCTCTACTAAAAATACAAAAAAAAAAAAAAAAAAAAAAAAAAAAATAGCCAGGTGTGGTGGCGCTTTCCTGTAATCCCAGCTACTCAGGATGCTGAGGCAGGAGAATCACTTGAACCTGGGAGGTAGACGTTGCAGTGAGCAGAGATTGAGCCACTGCACTCCAGCCTGGGCGACAGAGGGAGACTCTGTCTCAAAAAAAAAAAAAAAGAAAAAGAAAAAGAAAAAGAAAAAAAGTTAACTGGCAATTGCATTCTAGTATCTTCTGCATATGAATTCACTCTTGAAAATATCCAAACTTGGGAAAATAATGAGCTACTAGTGTTCTTAGTCATTTCTCCTAAGGGTCACTGTGTTTCCAAAACACCAACCAGGACATATGGCCTTCCATGGTTGCGGGACCTGGAGTAGCATGTTTCAGAGGGCAGAGCTGGAGTGGGGACCACGTAGCCCTGGTCCTGTGTCTCAGTCTTGCACTGGCTGGCCATGTGGTCTCTAGCAAGCCTGGCCCTCTGTAAAATTGTAGTTTCCTTCTGTGAACTGGAGTAGAAAATGCCTTTCTTGTGCTTATTGTGACAATTACATGAAATAAACAGCTGAACACCATGCCAGGAACATAACAGTTTGTTGTCCTAGGAGGGATCCTTGAAGTACCCATCCAGTCATCAGATCATTGGATCTTCCTTGTTTTGAAGATGAGGACCCAGTCTCAGGCAACCAAGGGCCTGTCCAAGGTCACATAGCAGGTAGTGCCAGGCCAGCCACACCACCTCATCCCCCTAGAAGTTTCTCCCTCCACATTGCACATCATGCACTCACTCAATTTCCAAAGGCAGTTAGTGAACATGGCATAGTGTGCTGGGAGTGGGGATGAACTGAGTTGAGCCTTCTCAACAGTGGAACTCTGCCCATCCTTGGGGGTCAATGTTAGTAATTATCCTAGGTAAAAAAGCCCATCTTATTTATGATAAGGGTTGCATAGAACCCCTGCCATGACTACCTTCTAAAATAGTATCTGGGGCAGGGGCAAGAGAGCCACCCTTGACTGGATGCCTATTGGGTATTCCCGTGTGGCCCCCACAGGGTGCACAGGGTGATAACTGTTCTCCTCAATGTGCCAGTGGTGGTGCCAAGCTCAGACAGGTGACGCAGCCCCACTGAGCTCGCAAGAGAGGGTGGCAGGATCAGAACTCAAGCCTAAGTCCACCTGATGCTAACAACAGCGTTTTTTAGGTTGGTTCAGTGGCAGAGGCACAAAATAAATCACCAGGCCCCCAAAGGAAATAAACACACACAGCCTGAGAAAACGAAGGCAACTCATTGCAAAGCTGGGAGAAACAAGCGCCCCATCACAGATCTCTCAGCTTCCAAAGCAAACCCAACTTTTTTTCTTATGACTCCAGTGAAAGCCTGGGAGGGGGATGGAATGTGGAAAGTTGGTTTGCAGATTTGCAGAACATCCCTAGAAACCCGCGTGTGCTGTGCAGGCACCTCTGTCGGTGGCGCTCCTCTTTTTCTGAGGAATAATTAATAAATATTTTCTTTTAGCATATAACAAACAGTTGAACCAAACAATTATGTAAACTGGAAATGACCCAAAATGCGAGCAGTTGGCAGCAGCACAGTGAAATGCATTGTCGTGCACATGTGCATTTTTGTCACTCCCGCCTCTCTGGTGATCTGCACTTAATAGGAATATTTTAAACTATGTAGCTAAGCAACAGAGGTAATTGTTGCTTTCTAGAGCTTTTGTTAGCACTCTAACACAGCCCAAATATGCATAATTAGGTATAATGTCTATAAATCATTATCATACACATGTGGGTAGTTAAGTGGAGTGAGAGAATAGTTCAATGAATTGAGCATATTCACTGAAAATGCTTTTTATTTGTTTTCTGTAGTTCATAATACTTTAAAATTATCATAACCCTTTACACTTTCTCTTAATAGCCAACTGTGATATTGAGAAAAACTTCATTTGCATTTTAGACTATGTTTAATATATTATTTAAACCTGGAGTTCCTCTGATATGAATTCAGGAGAGGCTAGGCCATCCTATCAAATATTATGTGCCTGTTTATCCAGCCTCTTTTCTAGGAACTAAAATGTTAAATTTTTCAGTTTATGTTGAATAGATCCCAACAAAAGACTGCACCCTATAATCAGCATTATTTACAGGGGCTAGTGTTGTGACTGAATTCTTCCCTTCATCCAAAAATGCTTTTAGTTACTATGGCAATATTTACTTGATCCTGGCAGTCCAGTGTTGATTTAGGGAGATAATTACCAGAAAGGAAGATGATGGAGATGTATTTTTGAGTGTCCTTGTCAGAGACAATGTTTATAAAAAATTAAATGAGACCAAAAAGACACATTGTCTTCCACACAGGCACTCTCTCCCTCAGCGCTCACACCGATGGCTGTGCTTTTCTTCCCTCCAAAGATGTTTATTAGCACAGAATGCACTGCTCTTGGTGTCTTTAACAGTCTTTAATGGGGACTTATTACTGGTTGCTTCCCATCCCCCCACCCTGCCTTTGAGACACAGAAACAGGCCTCCTATTTTTTGGATGTCTGGGCAGTGTTGCAGGCACTTCGCAGACTGGTGTGCACTGGGCACACCCCAAGTGCCTGGGCCTGGGCTGGAGTCACCTGTGAATCCACTTTCACTTGCTGTGTCTTGCACTGGGACAGGCTTGGGTAGGCTGATTATCGTCTATACACTCCATCACTGCAACCTGGCCACTCCCAGAGCAAGGGGGGGATGACACAGACAACAATGGCTGCCTGGGACAATAGCCACTCCATAGACTGTGCTGGATGGACAGGCACGAGGGGGCTCCTCACGGGGTGCCTCTCACGGAGTGCCTCTCACGGGGTGCCTTAACATTCAGGACCCAAAGCAGCCTTGTACTGAGAACAGCTAGTTACCATTCAGCACTCTCCAACGCCCCACCTTGTTTCATTTTCTTGTTACACAAGTGCATGCACGTAATGGACCAGAAAATGTGTTACTACTATTTAAGATATGATTTGATCATGCTAATTTTCCTGTTTGTGTTTCCTTCAATTTGGAATTTTAGGATGACAATTACAAAGGTAAACAGGAAGTCTTGAAAACCTCAGAAAGATGTATTGTATCTTAGCTATCAGTCCATAAAATCTGAAAGTATGTCTGAGAAAGACTAGAGAGTAGAGAACATAAACCAAATGGCTTTGAAAATACATTGCCATGCTAACAGAGAAACTGATTAATATTTCCTTTACAATGTATACTATTATATATGTTTGATTTTCTTCTGGTTGCCTAAGAGTTGGGAATATAAGAAGTACAGTAACAATAATTTCACATTCAGCAAATACTATTAGTGTTAAGTGTCTACTTCTTGTCTTGGTCAATACCTCAGAGGTACTTACCTCTTAACATGTTGGAAATTATAATAGCTCATTTCTTTTAACACAGTTCTTAGAATATTAAGGTCTAAGTTTTCTCTTAAGAGGATATATGTTTTTCTCACCAATGTTTATAAAATTAATAGAGATTATATATTACACATACTATGTATGTATATGTGTACATATATGTATGTGTATGTACATATGTATGTGAATACATGTGTGTGTATCCATATAACTTGTTGCAATTTTCTAAAATATTTTTTGTTCTTGCTCTTCAAATATTGGTTTTCTTTCTCCGTAGAGGAAGTCATGATAAAACCTATGGATGAAAGTCTCCTTTCAGCTGCACAAGAAAACTCCAGTAGGAAGGAAGACAGATACTCTTGTTATCAAGAGCTCGTGGTCAAGTCTTTAATGCACTTGGGGAAATTTGAAAAAAATGTGTCTGTTCAGACCACAAGTGAAAACTTAAATGACAGTGGCATCCAATCTTTAAAAGCAGAGAGCGATGAAGCAGACGAGTGTTTTCTGATTCATTCTGATGATGGAAGAGACAAGATCGATGATTCTCAGCCACCCTTCTGCTCCTCTGATGACAATGAAAGTAACTCTGAAAGTGCAGAAAATGGCTGGGACAGTGGCTCCAATTTCTCAGAAGAAACCAAACCACCTAGAGTCCCAAAGTATGTTTTAACAGATCATAAAAAAGACCTATTGGAAGTTCCTGAAATAAAAACTGAGGGTGACAAATTTATCCCTTGTGAGAACAGGTGTGATTCTGAAACAGAAAGGAAAGACCCACAGAATGCTCATGCAGAACCCCTGGATGGCAACACCCAGCCCTCATTCCCTGATGTTGAGGAGGAAGATAGCGAGAGCCTGGCAGTAATGACGGAAGAGTCTAGTGACCTGGAAAAGGCCAAGGGGAACTTAAGTTTGCTGGAGCAGGCAATTGCTCTGCAGGCTGAGCGAGGTTGTGTTTTCCATAACACCTACAAAGAACTGGACAGGTTCCTGCTGGAGCACCTAGCAGGAGAAAGGAGGCAAACCAAAGTTATCGATATGGGTGGAAGACAAATCTTTCACAATAAACGTAAGACCCATTTTTGCATTTATTTTAGGAATAAAAGTGCTTTAGGGTTTGAAAAAAAAAGTCAGATTTGATTTTTTTTCAGATAGCTTTTTGACAGTTTAATGCAACTTAAAAATCAATGTATAATTATAAAATAAACAATTTCTTTCTTTTCCCCCACTCTCTAGATTATTCTCCAGTCAAGCTGTGTTAGTTTTGGGTATTTTCACACATGAAAAAAAGTTCATTGAATCTATTTCTTTTAATTTAACTGCTTTTTAAAAATGCATCATACCTTTAGAAATAACTTTATTTGACATTATTGGAAGTACATCAGTATTTATTGGATCTTAAATCAATTCCAGAAACTTAATTTTCCTTTGCCACCCTCATCCTTGGATAAAACTGCAAGCCAGGCAGGATGCTCTGGTCCTTTTTGGGATAAACCTGGATGTTAATGCGTTTATGAGCCTACACTTTCACTGGCTCTCTAACTCGGGGCTCGTACATCTCTGGGCCAAACTTCAATGAGAGAGTAGGTGTGCTTTGAGGAGGTTTTGGAGTTGTTCTTCAGGCCTTGGGAAAAGTGTGTTCCTGCTTCGCTGGAGCATTCGCCCTGCTCTTTCTCCCCAGAGTCTTACATCAGATGAGCCTGATGCTGGTTCTAGCAGTTTTATGGAGCTTCCCAAGAGCAATCCTTAGTGTCTAGAATGCTTGTTTAAGATGAGTATTTTCAGATTCCATCATCATCAGTGCTCCAGAATTTGCACTTTTTTTTCCCATCAGCTTCCAGGTGATTCTTGGTCTCTCTGAAACCTGAGAGTCACAGAATTAGGGAGAGGAGTACCTTAGGAAAAATCAGGGCAGTGGACCCAAACAGCTTACAAGAATAACATGTTAGTGTGGTTGAGAAGTTCTGATTGCTGAGAGTTATCTAGAAACAAATTGTATATTTTGTCATTTTAAATCCATTTTAGCACTCACCTGCAATCTTGACAAATAATGTCTTACAGCTCCGAGCTGAGGAAACAAAAAAGGATAAAATGGTGTCATGTAGTGAGGAGCAAGATAATGCCATGCAAACATCCTGCAAGGGTTGGAGTGGGGACAGAATATTAATGACTAGCCTGTGGTTCAGGACAGGACACTGTATCTAGCTCTGCACTCCCACTAATGTGCAACTTATTGTATTTAACTTTTTAAGGAAACTACAAAATCAGAAAAAAAAATGGGATTTACTCAAAATTCCCCAAATCCACAATTTCTGACATACTATATTTTATTGATCCTAAGAGATATCATTTCTATTTAGTTATTTATTTTTGAGTTTTGCTCTGTCACCCAGGCCGGAGTGCAGTGGTGCCATCTCAGTGCACTGCAACCTCCGCCTCCCAGGTTCAAGTGATTCTCCTGCCTCAGCCCCCCGAGTAGCTGGGATTACAGGTGCTTGCCACCACACCCAGCTAATTTTTGTATTTTTAGTGGAGACGGGGTTTCCCCATGTTGGCCAGGCTAGTCTCGAACGTGATTCACCTTCCTCGGCCTCCCAAAGTGCTGGGATTACAGGCATGATTATTTCTCCATTTTATCATCTCTGAACTCAGAAGAATATACCATAGTTTAATTACCAATCATTTTTTTCTTTCTAAGTAGCACACAAAATGATGATTTGTTTTGTTTTGTTAAACAATTGATGATACCTTACAGGCAATTAAACCTAGTATTTATAGAAACTTAATTATTTGAGCCACATCTTAAAGTATTTGATGATCCTTTGGATAATTTTATAGAGCTTTTAAAACTTCTTTTTTTGTTTTCAAAAATTAAGGGCATATAATTTGTGCTTGTAAACATTTGGGCCAGTTGGAGACTTACCGAATTCCTACTAGGGCTGGATGAGTCAGCGGTATATCCTAGTGCCTGAGGCATGGGGGCAGCCTCTGCAAGATCAAGACCAGGCAGGCTAGTCAGCAAAACAGGTGAAGAAGGTGAAGCCCACATTGAAGAGCCACAGGCTTAGTCTAGAGGAGGCCTGCAGAGTCCAAACTGAGTATTCCTTTCCTGTTCCTTGTTCCCAATGTGGGATCCAATGGCACAAGAAGGATGTTTTTTGTCTCTGACATGCGCTCCATGCTGTTAACTCAATGCTCATCCCAACTGATAGCCATATTCTCCAAAATACCAGCCTAACTTCCCAGACACCTTGCCCATGCAACTTCACTGTTAAGGAGAAAACTCAGGAGTTTTAAAATCTCATTTAACCCCAGTTTTCAGATGAGTCAGCAATTCTAAAATTAGTTTGGTTAGACTCTTGCCACTAAGCATTTAGTGAGATTTAGGTTGCAATGTAAGTACAGTCGCCATGTCATTGACTGTCCTGCTTGTGAAAAGGGGAACACTATGAACCATTACATGAGTACATCAGATGTGAATGAGGACAGTCCCAGGAAAACCAAGGTGTAACATCACCAGAGTATAAGGTCACCCTCATTATGCAACACTGTACAAAGAAAACAGAGGAAGAGCCAAGCCTGAGAGTCGCCCCAAGCTCAAGCTCTGGCTTCTTATCAAGCAAACAGGTTCTGCCCTCCAGAGCATTTCCCTGCATCTGTGTTTCACCCAGCAGAGGAGGGACTTGCAGACAAAGGGGCACGGTGGACTGTCAGTGGGCTGCACCTGGGCAGGAGCCAGCCTGCCTTATCTCTAGCACCCTCTCCGGCTTCCTGCAGACAAACAGTGTGGTGAGGAGGGGAAGTGTGCGACGCCAATCCTTTCAATGTGGTTTAGAAACGTGGCCTTACCTGGGCAAGGTCCAAGAGAGGAAGGGCATCGAAATACACATTATTGCTCTTCTCCTTTTTTTCTAACTTACTCTCCTATGGTGTCAGGCCCCTCAGTTCCCCTAATCAGATTTTAAGAATTTGGACCTACTGGTCTACAGATTTCACATCAACTTGAAATTTGGCACTATTTTTGGATTAAATAAAACATATATCCGCAAATCACAGAGCATCGCAAAACTCTTAATTTGTCTATTACGAAATGCAGAGAGAATAGTGTTGACACCGGCACATTTAGGTCCTATCTTTCCTTAAATGCCCCCTGCTGGCCGCAGCCCCATCATCTGGCCATTCCTTGCTCATTTGAGACTTCCTGCCTTGTCTCTTGACCTCCCTGACCCTCAGCACAGAACCACTGGAAGGATCCTTGGCTCTTCCCCCTTCTGCTGAATCCATGCCCCCATATAATTGCATTACATTCAACCTGCTGTGCCCCATCTGCCCAGGACTGTTGATCATCCAGCAACTGGGGTGCCATGGTATGGCAGAGGCACGTCTGCTCTCGCAATACAGCGCCCAGGAAATGTCTGTCGCATCCCGTGACAGTGGCCAGACTTTGTGCTCCGTTGCACAGGAGCACAGGAGGCTCCGCACCCTCGCACGCAGGCCCCGTGTTCCATTGTCAGCATCTTCTCGGGCAGGACCACACTGCCTGTTTTCACTCCCTTTTTTTTTTTTTTTTGAGACAGAGTCTTGCTCTGTCGCCCAGGCTGGAGTGCAGTGGCCGATCTCAGCTCACTGCAAGCTCCGCCTTCCGGGTTCACGCCATTCTCCTGCCTCAGCCTCCGAGTAACTGGGACTACAGGCGCGCACCACCAGGCCCGGCTAATTTTTTTATTATTATTATTTTTTATTTTTTGTAGACACAGGGTTTCACCGTGTTAGGCAGGATGGTCTCGATTTCCTGACCTCGTGATCCGCCCGTCTCGGCCTCCCAAAGTGCTGGGATTACAGGCTTGAGCCACCGCGCCAGGCCCCTGTTTTCACTCTTAGCATCTAGGTGCTCATTATTCCTGAGGCCTCATGTTGCAGACCCCGGTAGCCTCCTTTCCTCCTGCATTGCCCCTCTCTGAGGGCTCCTGTGCATCTTCTCATGCTCTTTCTTCTCCCTGACCCAAGTGCCGTGGGACAGGCGCTCCCCATGGTTGGTGTTATTCCCAGCACAAGTTAGGGGGGCAATTTGGCTCTAGGAGTGAATCTCTGTTTCAACTTTATCTGCCATCTCAGGCATGAATGTGAACATTTCTGAATAAGGCCTCATCTGTGTTATTTCTAAGCTCACCAGTATTCATGTTTGGTCCTCATTTATTGCATATATTTATGTAACCCTTTAAGTTGTGGCAAAGTGTGTGCCAGAAAATCAAACCCCAAGCTTGTCTGGAGCCTCCCCCTCCCCAGGCTCCCAGAAAATGCATGAGCAGGTGGTGTCCCTCGCCATGCCTGGCTGCTCCCATGGGCCCCACCCACACTGGTGTTCCTGAGGGTGCTCTCTGGACTGCTGCTCCGTGGTCTGCACTCTTTGCACTTTTTTTTTCTGTAAGCCTCCTGCAAGAACATTTCCCTTCCAAGTCTTCCTGCTGTCTCAGTTTTCGGATTCTGCATTTAGAGTGAGATCAGCAGCTTCTTCCCCGTACTCACTGCACGCTGATCCCAAGTGGCAACCCGTGGGGGTGTTGGAATCTCGAGACCGTGAATCACTAGCACTGGACATACAGGACACAAGCCAGTATCCTTGCCCTGTCCTAACTCTGCCAGCTGCTCTGCAGGGAGCAGGCTCTGCTGTCCACTCTCAAGCCCAAGGACCTGCAGGGCCAAGGCCAGACGGGTCTTTCTCAGATATGGTGGTTTCTTTGTTTTTGTCATTTTGAATCCATCTTTTTCTAGACTTTCAATAAGAAATGGTTTTGGTTTAAATAAATTCTTTCTGACTTTTTTTCTTTTCGGGAGCCTGTTCATCCCCTGGCACAGGGTTGATTTTTCATAATGAGGCTCTAACTGCAATATGTGACATGACAACTTAAAACCATCTCTGTATTTTAACACTCCCTTGCCCTGTGTCAGCCTTTACTTATGAAACCAAGAAAATTGAAAACATGTTTTCTGTTTCCACAGGTCTTAGTTGAGGGTCTTATTCAAGGCAACGTGAGAAGAATGTTTATAACAGTAAAACTGAATGAAGTG